TGGAGTAACTCCACTGAAGTGCAGTCAACTCATACTGTAAATTGTTTTTATTTGTACACTAGAAAATCTGTGCTCTCTTTTTGTCCCATGAGGTGCAACCTGAGCAGCTGGTAGCCCATCAAACTGGGAAGTACCTTCCAATGTCCCTCTGTGTGAACTACCTAGCGCCTGCTGAAGTCATCGTGCAACTGGATTCATGAAGCACTGGTCTGAACTGAGTTCATACAGGAAATGACTCACTCCAGTGAACACATACAAATACTGTGATTTGCATTTTCTTTGGAAGATTTACATTTTTCAGTGGATAAAAATAAAGGAAATGAGGGCTCTGCCAATACTGTACAACAAATACTACTGAGCTAGAACTGTACAAGCTATCTCCTGTACCAGAAAGCACAGAGCTGCATCAGCTCAGCACAATGCCCAGGTTAATAAACTGTGCTAATAGGTGGGTGTAATTAGTTTCTGCATAGCATCATGTCCACACAGTTTGTCTGCTTTGAGGGACCTTGCTAGTATTTCTGTCTGAGATATTGATCAGTACAATCTCAGGGCTGTAGGCTCTGCATTCCAGTTTTCAATGATGATGTGCTCTAAATATTACAGAAAAGCAAATGTAACCTACACAGAGAAGTCTTCAACAGACAGGTTTAAAGCAGAAATGTGGTTCTAGGCTTAGTTACAAATAGGATCTTAAATCTTGTAAAAAAGCAACACATGTTGACATACACATATAAGAATCATGAACCTATGTGATCAACTGCAACAGTACTGGGCACTGGCATTTACAGGAAAATTAATATCAGTTTAACGCCATTTTAATCTGTCAGACAACGTGCAGGTAGAACCCCATGGACTTCCAGTTTTAAGCTTTGCAAAAAGACCTGAGTGCATGGCAGACCATATTGCCTCTATGTTTCTTCTCTCTCAGTTAGTAAACGTGAATCTGAAATATAATTAGACATAAACTTGAAAATAACCAAGGAAAAAGATTAGATCTGGAGATAAGGAACTTAGAACAAGCTAATTGTATTCAGAAAAAAACCTCAAAGAAAATGCTCTTCATGCTGTAGCTTGAAATTTGAGGAGAGGAAAACCTTTTGTTCATCTCTTTGCTGTATGATGCTTTTTTACAATGAAATTCAACACAAAGTGAATCTCAGCTGGTTTGGAATTATATTACCATCTGGGGGAAGATTTTGAAACAAGCCAAAACTAACAGATTTTCACCCAACCCCTTAAGAATTCTAATTGCCAGGAGTTGGGCATTTCTTAGGAGCAAACTGACAGTGCAGTAGCGTGAGTCTGCAGGATCTTCTTGGCTGCAAGATCTTTTGGCTGGAGATACTTTTTGATTCATGTAGAATCACCTAGAGCTCGGCAGATATTTTTAGTGTTTCTAGTTAGAAAGTTTAATCTATACTTCATCTGGAAACTATGGCCAAAGCTGTAATTAACATTGTCAAGACTGAGCATATTCTTGATGATGTTGTTGGTTAAAACCAATGTTGAACAGAGGGGGTCAAGCTGCATGCCTCAGGGGCTCTATAGTGTACTTCAGAGTCCCTCAGTAAGGATTAGCAATTAAGTGACTAGTTCAAATCCAGGAAAGGTCAAGAGTGATTAACATTCTTTTGTTCCATTGGTTAGTGGAAAACAGATGTAAAATGAAGTGATGATCAAAATCCAATTCCTAGTAGACATTTTACATCATAAACACCAAACTCCTAATGATCCCTTGCTGGCAATCTGATTAGAATGGGCAATAATTGAACAGGCACAGAGACTGCCATGCAGCCCTTACTGCCATTCCCCATAGCAAAAATACTGTCATTTTTGGGCTGGAGGACAAGCTGGAAAATTGCAGTCTCTCTGCCTGAGCTTTTTGTGTTCTGTTGATATATTTGGAAATCTTTCATCCTGAGTGGTATCAAATCATATTTTGGACTTCAAATATAGCTGAAGAATATTTTAAGTGCTCTGAATGCAGAAGAACCTGGAATTTAAAACTGACAGTTTTTTGATAATTTTAAATATGTGTGTTTGATTCTGAGCTGGATTAATCTGACATGGATCTGCTGAAAAATTAGGTAAGTGGTAGTCAATGAAGCTGGCAAAGGATCTGATTCTGCATTACTCAAAGTACATGATCATACTTGAAAATGCATGAGCAGTTTTAGAGAAAGTATATCACACCTAAATTATGTGCCTTATACATGCAACCACTGCTTTTCTTCTACTTCTTGGGCACCAAAGGGGTTAGAGTTAGGGTTAGGTGAGAGGTTGAATGTTAGCGGGTTAGAATGAAGAGTTAGGGGTTTGGATTGAGGCTTAGGCTTCAGGCTTTTGGTTAGGGTTACTACCATGATATAACAAAACTCTAAATTCCAAAGCCTGATATTCTCATACCATCCTGCAACTGGTGAGTGATAGAATGTTTTTCTTGTAAACATGATGTCTTCTAGACCAAATCTCTGTATATGCTGTTCTCCATGGAAAAACTGTTCTGCATTACCAGAAAATCTATTCTATTAATTCATCCAGGATGAATTCATCCATTCATCACTGGGCAAAAAACTGTCTGGATGGCCGGGTCCAAAGAGCTGTGGTGAATGGAGTTAAATCCAAGTGGTGTTCCCCAGGGCTCAGTATTGGGACCAGTTCTGTTTAGTATCTTTATCAATGATCTGGATGAGGGGATCGAGTGCACCCTCAGTAAATTTGCAGACGACACCAAGCTGGGCAGGAGTGTTGATCTGCTGGAGGGTAGGAAGGCCCTACAGAGGGACCTGGACAGGCTGGATCATTGGGCTGAGGCCAACTGTATGAGATTCAACAAGGCTGAGTGCTGGGTCCTGCACTGCGGTCACAACAACCTGATGCAACGCTACAGGCTTGGGGAAGAGTGGCTGGAAAGCTGCCCAGCAGAAAAGGACCTGGGAGTATTGCTTGACAGCCAGCTGAATATGAGTCAGTAGTGTGCCCAGGTGGCCAAAAAGACCAATAGCATCCTGGCTTGTATCAGAAATAGTGTGGCCAGCAGGACTAGGGAAGTGATCATCCCCTTGTACTCAGCACTGGTGAGGCTGTACCTAACTAATACTCAGTTTTGGGCCCCTCACTGCAAGAAGAACATTGAGATGCTGGACCGTGTCCAAAGAACGGCAAGGAGGCTGGTGAAGGGTCTACAGAACAAGTCTTATAAGGACTGGCTGATGGAACTGGGGTTGTTTAGTGTGGAGAAAAGGAGGCTGAGGGGAGACCTTATTGCTCTCTACAACTACCTGAAAGGATGTTGTAGTGAGGTGGGGTTTGGTCTCTTCTCCCTGGTAAAAGCGATAGGATGAGAGGAAATGGTCAAGCTGCGCGCCAGGGGAAGTTTAGGTTGGATATTAGGAAAAATTTCTTCACTGAGAGGGTTGTCAAGCGTCGGAACAGGCTGCCTGAGGAGGTGTCTGAGTCCCCATTCCTGGAGGTATTTAAAAGACATATAGATGTGAAGATTAGGGACCTGGTTTAGTGTTGGACTTGGCAGTGATAGATTAACGGTTGGACTTGATGATTGTAAAGGTCTTTTCCAACCAAAATGATTCTATGATTCTATGATTCTATAATTCTATATTACTGGATTCCACTAGATGAAAATACTTCCATAATTTAGCAACAAAATCTGTAAGATGAATACACAAAAAATTTTCAGTGGGTGGATAAAATGCTTAAAGAGTCTTGTAACAAGTACCAACTGGACTTTTCTTGCTGCTCTACAGTCCCTTGTCTTAGTTATCTATACAGCAAACTAAGAAAGAAAACGCTCTAAAAAGCTAATAGCTTGAATAAGGTAAGATATTGCTCGTTTTCAGTAAGTTTATAAAAATTACATCATTAGAATCTTATTAAGTAAATTTAAAACAGTTGAAAATATTCTTGTTATTCACTAGGTAGCTTATATACTATCTAGAGCTGCTGTTGACTGACAGTTGAAGGATAAAGGAAGAATTAAGGGATTCACATTTTGGAAGACAGATTATACTTGTATGATTACTTTCACTATTGTTTTTATCAGAGGAACAAGTCAAACATTGCTCACTACTGAGGGCAGGTGTCCCTGCTCCTGGAGAAAAGTGGGACTTCTTAATGATCTATGAGTGGGTTTCAGGCTTCTTGATGACATGGACTTAGCGAGTTCAAGAACACAACTCACTTCTGAGATTACTTTGTTTCCTTGAGCCTGCATCCTTTTTAAAACAGCTAGTGGCACTTTATATCTCAACCAGTTATTGGAATCAACCTTTTTTGGGACATCCTGGATATGACATTGGAAAGAAGAGTCCAGAAATTTGTACTAACTCTTAGCTCTGCAATTGAGTTAGGACATCACCAATATTTCTTCTTTTAGCTTTGCCTTTGCCAAAACCATTTCAGTGAGAAAGCTCTCTAGGGCAGTGACTATATATGTTTAGTTTCTAGTACACCCTAACCCTGACCACAGGGTGGTCCATGAGCATTGCAGTAATAGTAATAATGTATGACACTAACTGTGGGTTTTGAAAGGATGTGTATTCTGCAAATGCATTTCAAAGAAACGGAAGCAAAAGTGTCTTTTACTCCCTGAAAAATGGAACCGCTAAGCATTTATATTTAAATTAAATGCTTTTAGGAGTTCATTGAATGTTATTTAGCACGTATATTATAGCAAAGGCATGTTACCTATTGCCTTAGAATGAGGAATTTATTGCTTTTTCATAGTTATCTTTTGTATCAGCATTTGGCAGGTAACAAATGAAATTTGCTTGCTAAGGTTAAATTGTTTGTGCTGCTGCTCAGCCATACAGATACAGAGGATGAGACAATGGAAAAAAGTTATTTGCTTTTTTGGGCAGACATAGGAATATATTAATATATCGTGATCTTGACCTGTCTTTGAAGAAATGTTTATTCTCTGAACTTAATTCCTGTCTGAATCACTCCACTGAAATCCTGTTCATGCAGGAGATGTACGAATGGAATTGCAGACAGAATTGGCCCAGTGTGGTCAAGGTGCTGATGCTCAGAACAGCCTGAGGTCAAAGCAGAATGGACTCCAAGTATCAGTCAAAAAAGATGAAGGCTCTCTGGAACTTGGTATGAAAAGTTCCTGTTTCTCTGTCCATTTTCAGTACCACTGCATTTCCTGACTCATGCAGATTTGGGACCAATAATGCCTGATTCTCTCTGAACCCTGAATTTGTTATACTTTAGGAATATGAAAACATGCTGTTGAGTAAATACTAATGCCTAAACTTGTAAGGATTCCAGCCTAATTTTTTGGACTCCAGTGTTTTCTTTAAATTTCAAAAAACTTCTGGAAACCATGCTTTGCAGGTTTCCCTTTAGTCTAAGTCCATTTTGGTAGGCCAGTTGAATTTTTTTACATACCTGAGAAGTCCTTGTGATACAAGGTCGGAATAATAAATTTTATGTTTTTATTCTTTATGTAGGAAAAGTAATATAATGCCATCACTACTTTATTACTCTGCAGTCATTCTGTTACTATGCAACTTAAAATATTTCAGCCATCAGCATTTGGAGAAAGTTCATAGGTGTAGGGCACTCCATTATAATTTGCCTTTAAAGACAACATTTCTTCTAGTCGCCCTGCCTAGAAATGCAGTTATGGATCAAGACACTGGAGCTAGTTCTGAGGTGAGCTGAAGAGATGGTAAACTGAGAATGCACTGTATTTGCACTAGTATAACCAGTGCTCTAGGGCTCCAGTATTTCTGTTTATAAGTTGAGTTAATAGTTCTTGCTAATTGGAAATGTCTGGACCTTTTCTGAAGACTGGAAAAGTCTCTGAAGGGTTTTTGAAACTGATACTCAAGTTTTGGTTAAAAAAAGAAAAGTCTTTCTGTGATTTGAAGGTGCTCAGGAGAATTCAGCAGGCATAAAATAATCCCAAACATGTCAGCTTACTAGACCTTGAACTATCTTGTATTCAACTTGCTTCATTACATCTTAATATGAATTTAAAACAATGTATCAGAACTACTGTATGTGACAGGAGAGGACTCATGGTCCTCCACAGACAAGCTCACACCACTGCTCATTATCCTAGAAATCGACGTGCTGAAGCAATGTTCACGTATTTTCTTCCTAAGTTTTTCATTTCAGTGTGAAAAACTTAGGAATGAATAACCTCCTTCAACTTATGTGTCAATGCCCAAAGGACTTTTAACTCATCTCAATTTAAATTAATGACCTTAGTGATAGTACTAGCAATTGGACCATGGCTCTCATGAGCCAGATATTTGCATATGGAATTTGATTAATCCTGCTAGCTATTAATTTTCACTTTTAATTAGGTGTGATACTATTGCCGGAAGAAAATACAAGACTACTATCAGGCACAGACAATGTTGATTTTCTATTGGGTACTCTATTCTGTTTTGTTTGGCTGTGCTAGGTTCCCTCACAATGTCTGTTTGGATAGACTCAGAAAGGTACCATAGGCCTAAAAAGTGGTCTGTGCAAGTTCAGGGATAATCACTGCAAAGAAGTACCATACTGAATGAATATTACTGGTTTACAAGAGGTAGAGAAATTGGTGTACAGTATTCCTAGTTTCCAATAGGACAATCTGTATTTCTTTGACATCTCTGCACTTTGGGAGCATTGCAACGTGGTTACGTATGTCATAGCCAGGAAAGCAACATGCAGCACTTGGCTTGCCCAGCAGAGCCAGTGCCCACGTGCTGCTTACTTCTGAGCAGATCCCTGTATGAATTAGCAGACCTTGACAAAACCACCAAGAAAATATCAATAAAAATTAATTGAGTACCCTTGCAATATAGTAGCTGTCTAATCTTCCCCTTCCTTACCAGAACAACATTAAAGAAACACACCTCTTTCTTCAGGGATGAATTTTAATAGATTTTGATGTCCATTGACAGAATGAATGAATGAATGATCAACGTTTATTAAACAAATACAATTGGAAAGGGAATATATTGATTTTTCTTGTTGAAATTCTAAGAGAAGAAAAACTTCTTGCCTTTGTGATCACAGAAGACTTCTGAGAAGTCAGTATGCATATCTGGCAAGGGCACAGAGTGAAGATGAAGGCATAAAAGTTAGCAGGGACATGCCAAATTCCTGTTGAACTGTGGAATGGCTTCCTCTGTGCTTTTAAAATGCCTTTCCTGAAGTATTCATCTGTTTGTAATAAATGGATAATTCATAGTGAAGAACACACGGTTTTTATGAAAGGAATCGGTACTTTTGCAATAGAATTTCATATACTTGTGCAAGCCCTTTTTTGTATTTCGTAACATCTCATACAGATATACAATTTCTTTCTGTGGAAATGTACACTCCGCCAACATCAGTGCAAGTTAAATCTCTGAGACATCTTTGTTCAAATTCAGGTTTCTAGAATTCACCCATGAATATCTATGTGGAAAGTGACTCAGCTGTATCAACATTCTAATGCTTTTCTTTGGAAAAATACAGTATAAGACACAGTAGCAACAAAATATTTGAGTAAAATGTGGAAGTATTTTAATTTTATTAAACTTTTACATTAAGAGTAGGTGATTGGAAACTGTATCTAGAAAATGAGTAATACTAATAGAGCATGTTAATAGTGCACGGTGCCTTTGTCCATTGTGTAGTACTGGGAAATCCTCTTTTTAACCAGTGTGAACACATTATGGTCTTTTTCACCTTCTTCAGAAGATATGTCTAGCCATGTGAAAATGGGCATTTTCTTCAGTGTGTTATATGTAAAGCAAACTAGAGTGCAAATTTTGATTAAAATGTTGCTCTGTGGCCTTTCATATAAAAACTAATTTTATTTAATATTACTTTCTACATGTATGCAGAAAATGGCAAACCAATATTAATAAAAGAAGGCTTATAGGAATGTGGATCGAGAACAATAGATCCTAGACAAAGTTTATTTACCTAGCTAGACTTTCATTTCAAAGTTAACAGCACTCTGTGTTACTGGTTGTTAGACATTTTTAACCCACTGTAATTTATTCCATGGAAGTTTAATGCCCTGCTGAATGGAGATGGGGTGAATTTTCAAAAGTCATAATCCACTGAAGTAAAAAATCTTTAATGACAACATAGGCAGTAGGCTTCAAGAGTTTAGTTTAAATTCTTTCTAAAAATGTAAAACGTAGGGCAAGAGTTAATAGGATATTTCATACGGTTATATTTCAATCCTTTCCCAAATCTTTATAAATTCACTTGCATCTCCACTGTTAGAAATATTTGGGCTGAATTCCTGCACTTCTAAGGCAAAAAGCAGAAAGCTGTAAAATTGTAATGTGAAGATTTTCACAGTGTATTGTAACTCATTTGGTCCTTCAGCTCACAGATTATTATATGGGATAGTATAATGTTTTCTAAATTGAAAGAGAAATGATGTTTTACAAACCAAATACCTTCCATTTTGCCTTAACTAGGCAAGAAAATGAAAACAAACTAGATAATACAACACTATATTCATCCCTCTGCTCCTCTAGGATTTTTACAACTGACTTTAGTGATGGGTCAGGATTTGGCCCATAAATTGAGCCGAAAGACTCCACATATTTCCTATGTATTCCAGAAACACAGTGTTACGCTGCCCCTTTACTACCACCTTTGGAGCTGCCTAGTTCTGGAAGTACCTGTAACTCAGACAACACCTCCTTTTTGTTTTGTCCTGGAAGCTCCCCTGATGCCAGCCATAAATTTTTACAGCTCTGCTTGGCCTGAGCATCCAGGCACCAAGCTTCTGCCTGAACCCCACAGGAAAAACGCTGCTGCTTTGCTAGATTTTTTTGTGGTCTGCTGGACAAGAGTTTAGGTGGCATTAAATGAAGCTAGGAGGTGACTTGTTCAAACAAACAGGAGGAGAGGGTTCCTCAGAAAGTCTGAAGTTAAGAGCTGGAACTACTGGTTGCAGGGTGTTTCAGATACTGAAAGTTTCAGAGACAAGCAAGTTCTTGTAAGTGATATTTGTTGAAGATGATTAAATTCATAGCCAGAAATCCAGCTTAAGAAGTACTTGATCTGCAAAGGTTTGAAGATGGGAAAGATTTTCCGGTAGAAATAGTATATTCTTTCCCTGATTTTGGATTCTTTGACAAAAAAAAACTTTTAGCCATTGTTGGATACATTGTACAGGACTAGGTGGACTTTTGGTTTGACTTGTTAATGTTCTCAAGCTCTTAAACTAAATTCTCAATTGCAGTCACTTCCATTTTCTCTAGGAGCTACCTTTTTGAAGGAAAAACAACGAGGTTCCTTCTTTGAAAGACAAGAGTGACAGCGGGACCTGTCTTCACCCCTGATTTCCAGGAAAACAGTGGAACATTTCTTAGGGCTGGCTTTTCATGGCTTCCTGCTGTGGATCTGTGGTTTTGGTTCCTGGTTCAAAGTTCCCAGCTTTTTCCAGGCACTTAGAAGAGCCTGGATGTTTAATTCTGAGTCTGATTTCCACTCTGCAAGTTTGTGAAAGGAAAAAGAAAGCCCTAGGTTCTTACAAAGAGCTGTGCTGCCACAGCTGAGAGGGCAGCACTGGCAGAGTGAAGCAAAGAAAAAGGAGAAAGAGAAAAACACCAGTTAGGGCACTACTTCCTGAAGAAATGTCTCCACAATTACAGTCTAAGTCTGATTGATTTCAAGTGCCTATCTGTATCTTTAGATGACTAAACACTTTTTAAAAGCCTGCTTGCTAAACATTTTTTCTAGTCACCAGTGAACAAAACAGCCTCAAGAAGACTTGTTTCTCAGATTCTAAATACTGGTGAAAATTATTTGTATGATTAAGTCAAACCCAAAAGATAACAGAATAGTTCCAAAAGAAAACCTCGATATGGGAAATCTCCTATATCTAAAAGCAAGGAGGAGCAGTAGTAGCACGTCTGTACACCTTGCTGTATGAGTAACACAGCACAAGTTTGAGCATGCTTGCAGATGCATAGGGAGCAGCGGACTTCAACATGACTAGAGCATTTCAGAAAGCATTTAGACAGAGCAATCATTGTCCTGCTTCCAGCCTGCAGCCTTTGTGTTCTCTCCATGGTGTTCTCTCCAGGGCAAACTTTGTACCATGGGTCAGATTTTTCTTGCTTACCCTTAGGCATCTA